AGGAAGCATAATTTCCCACGTAAGGAAATTATTCTCAAAAAATGTTTCATTCCCTTAGAAAAGTGGGAAAACTAATGACATTTTTTTTTACTTCTTACAAGTTTTTTTTTTTTAAATTTAAAAGTGCATATAATTTTTTTAATAATATGTATATTGTGAAACTTACGAACAAAAGAACAATATAAAAAGGAAGACAAGAAGAATATAACACAAGAGAAATAATATAAGATCACTTTCTTTCTTTCAAGTATTCTTTCAACATTATTCTCAACACCTCTATTTATAGGATTACATTGAGGAATACCAAAGGGTGTCATAAACATTACATTAGACCTTGAGAATTACTACACATTAAGGAGGAAATAAACCTAGGAGTTATGGTCATCCAATTAACCATATTATCAACAACATTACTACCAATAAAGGATGAAATTAATCTAGGAGTTATGGTCATCCATTTGACCACATTATCAACAACATTACTACTCATAAAGGAGGAAAATTAACCAAGGAGTTATGGTCATCCATTTAACCACCAAAATGATTTACTACAGTATAAGCAAAAATATTGTCTACCACGTATTTTTAATATTTAATATTGTTTCCCCAGGTAGTAGTAAGGCCGCTCTTCCAGAGCCCTCAATTAATTTTGCACTACCAGATATTGTATTAACATAAGCCTTTTTCATAATCAAATTAGAGAAATATTTCCTTTCTCTTAAAATAGTGTGAGTTGTAGCACTATCAAGAAGACACATATCTCCATTACTCATCTTGAACCACTTGAAGATTGAGGAATTTTATTTATCTTCATAAAATAAAAGTACATCATAAGACATATGATAAAACAACAACTATGCAAGAAAATAAAATTACTTTTTTTTTTTTGAATATAAAAACAACATAAGGAAAAACATAACAATTAAAAGCACATAAATAAAATAACATAATTATTTTCCCTAATCAAATGATCAAACATTAGTTTTGATCTCCAAAGAAGTCTTCAACTTCCAAATGAGTAATATCATCAAGGTCATCAAAATCATCATCTTTTAAAGTCAAATTTGCTTCAATATTGTCATCATATTTTTGTGAAGGCCCTGCCTCAGCATCATTTTTATAAGTCAAGTGTGACTCCACCCAAGCATTAGAAGAAGATGCACCATTTTTATTTCCTTTTCTTTTCAAGGAATCTTGATAAAGCCTAACAAAATGCTCAACTGCTCGACATTCATTCTTCCAATGCCCTTTCATGCCATAACGATGACAATTGCCTCTTGACGGATTGCTTGAGAACCCATATTGTTCTCCCTTTTGTGGCGACCACCACCACGATGATTATTATATCGTCCTCTGCCATTGCCACATCCACGCACATTATTTTGACCTTGATTTTTATTTTGTCTTCTTTCAGACTGGCCATGTGCTTCAACCTCATTTGCTTCCGGTAACGGAGCAGTTTCCGTGGGACGGGCCTCATGATTTTTCAATAAAAGAGTATTATGTTGCTCAGCCACAAGAAGGTATGAGATCAACTCAGAATACTTTTTGAATCCCCTTTCATGGTATTGCTGCTGTACTACCAAATTTGAGGCATGAAAAGTTGTGAGAGTCTTTTTCAACATGTCCTCATCTTTTATATATGCCCCACATAATTTCAATTGGGAAGTAATTTTGTATACAACATAATTATATTCACATATAGTTTTAAAATCTTATAACCGCAAGTGAATCCATTCATAATGAGCCCTTGGCAATACCGTTGCCTTAAGGTGGTCATACCTTTCCTTCAAACCAGTCCACAATTCAAATGGATCTTTCACCGTAAGGTATTCAACCTTCAATCCTTCATCCAGATGATGACGAAGGAAAATCATTGCCTTTGCTTTGTCCTGACTCGACGCTGTATTACCATTGGTAATAGTGGCACCAAGACCTTTAGCGTCAATGTGAATTTCAGCATCGAGTACCCATGGCAAGTAATTATTTCCAAAAATATCAAGTGCCACAAACTTTGATAAATTCGACATGATAAAAATATCATAGAAAATAATTAAATTAGAGTAAAATAGACAATGAACAAATAATTACGTAGCAAAACTTTTTTTCATCAAAGTAAAATTAGCATACAATCTAAATTAATATTATGCCTCACAAATAACAAAAATAACTTTTAGTAAAATTGTTAGATAAAGTCTTTTCATTAAAAATTAATCAATAGTATAGATAATTCACTTTTTTCATTGAGAATAGAAAACACTTGAATTTGTAGTCCATTCATTTTTTTTCACAAAACAATGACCTTCATCTTCTCTTCGCAAAATCGATAAATGGTTAGCCTTTTTTTTCATTCAATTATAAATAACATGTAAAGTAGAAAAAGTATAGCCACAATTTAATAATTTTAATATTAGATTATAAATGGATACCTCAGAAGAAATGTTGTTCAACCTTGAGACTTCGTGTTGATAACGTATTGTGAAACTTAAGAACAAAAGAACAATATAAAAAGGAAGACAAGAAGAATATAGCACAAGAGAAACAATATAAGATCACTTTCTTTCTTTCAAGTGTTCTTTCAACATTATTCTCAACACCTCTATTTATAGGATTACATTGAGGAATACCAAAGGGTGTCATAAACATTACATTAAACCTTGAGAATTACTACACATTAAGGAGGAAATAAACTTAGGAGTTATTGTCATCCAATTAACCATATTATCAACAACATTACTACCAATAAAGGATGAAATTAACCTAGGAGTTATGATCATCCATTTGACCACATTATCAACAACATTACTACTCATAAAGGAGGGAAATTAACCAAGGAGTTATGGTCATCCATTTAACCACCAAAATGATTTACAACAGTATAAGTACATTTTTTTTAAAAAAAAGGGGCCCAAGCGATGACTTTAGTGACCTAGTGGTTAAGACGGCCCTGTATTCAAGTTTAGACTTGTAAATCTGAATATACATCTTAATGTGCATTTAAACTTGGTTGTAATATAGAGGATTTGGCTCTTCTCCATTTCTCTTCTCTTCATTTTTCCCAAGTTCCTACTTAGATGTACGACATCTATGTTACTGAAATATTAAAGGTGTGGATTAATTAATTTTCTTAATCAAAGAAGTATACTAATTAACCATGATTAAAAAAAATATTTAAGATTTCCAACTTTAGTAAGAAAATATTCATTTTCCAAATTTTTGAGAAAAAAATGGATTTACTTCAATTAAAGAGCATTAAGATTTTGATATAAAAAAGAGTTTTTCTATAGTTTAACAACTTGAGTCACGATCAAATCTATAGACATTTTGTTTTTTTTTTTAAAATAAATTCTATCTATTTTTTGGAAAAGTTAGTCTAACTTTTAGTTTTCTTTGATATTTTATGGCAAAGTAATTTTTAATACTTATTATTTAATATCTGAATGCTAAAAATTCTATTTTATGATTTACAATATTTTTTCTTCATAAAATAGCTTATTTAAATGTTTATTTTAAATTGACAGAAATTTAGTCTATGAAGAAACATTTTTTTTGTGTGAATGGAAAAACTATAGATAACGAAAATGATTTGAACTATGGTGCGAAACAATTGTGAGATGGATTTTTGATAGCAATAATTAGATAGATTTAAATGGTAATATATATCCTTTTGTTCATGATTAAGGTATTTGATTACTTAAAATTATGCACCATTGATATTTAAATAATATAAGTGTCATACATCTAAGTAGGAACTTGGGGAAAATGGAGAGAAGAAAAATTGAGAGGAGCTGGATCCTAAGATAGATAGAGAAGAGGTTATGATGGAGGGACGGTTTTATCGGTTAGAATAATTAATTTTGTAGAAAATTATTCAGTTCCATTGAGGAGACAGAGATGCAAAACCACTCAAATATTCACAACCTACTTTATTTTGTTTTCCCCTCAAATTTATTGTCTTTTCTTTTTACGTATTTTTTTTTTGCTTCTTCTTTTTATCTGCATTTTGTCTTTCTCTAAAAATGTGATTTTGGATTCTAGGTTTGTATATTTCCTATCCATTTTACATTTGATCCAAGCTTATTCCATACAAGTTAGAGGTGATCTTTCTCTCTTCTTCTATGTTCTGTTTTGGATTTTATGTGTGATTCTTTAATTGTCATTTCACAATTGCTCTAAAATTGGAGGCATTCACTATATCAAAACTGATATTTAGTATCAATTAATTAACGATAATAGCTTAATTGCAATTAAATATGTAGTTTTAGCGGCAATTAACACTCTTTATATATGTACCTAAAGCGTAATTCGATGACAATTAACTATAGCACTCTTTGTTAATGTACATATTTACTGCCGATAAAAAATGTTTTTGTTGTAGTGATTCCTTTGATTATTTCTTGGTTTGAATAGGTTAGATTCTGAACTCAGTGTCTTGATTCAGATGGTTTTTTTCCCTTTATGTGTTAGTTATGTCTAAATTCTTAATGTAAGATAATGTGTGTGTTTCAATATCGATATTGGTTATCATAGGAGGTAAGATTGATAGTTGGATTACTACTTCAGGTTCAACGATCACTTAGTTTTATAATTTGTATGTGAAGCTTGATTTTGTTTTCATTTGAGGACAATTATATATTCGAGGGTTAAGTGAAAACGTGTAATTTTGAGGAAAGAAAGCCTCAGACAAGGATTAGTAACTCCTATTGCTTTCAAGGATTCCGCTTTAGCTTAGAAGATAATCCTTTTAGATTGAATGCTTCGCATTTAACCTCAACTTGTGTTTGTTTGGAGGTTGGAAAATAGGGAAAGTACTAAGTGCTTTGCACAAACATATGTTATTTCTTGAACTAATGCACGTTCTGCTATTAATTGAAAGCAGAAACAATTTTTCTGAAGCTAAAAATTAAAAAAAAGCTGGTTGTTGAATGTTATTTATTGATTATTGATGCACAATGGAATAACATTTATCCTGATTACTGTAATGCAGTTAATTGTCTCTTCAGATATGTTGGAAGCTTCTTCAAACATGGATCCCCCTAAAAATGAAGGGGATATGAAACCAACAAATCTCGAAGAAGTAAAAGAGGAGTGTCCTCTCTTTTCTTGTAATCTATTTGATGCAGAAATGGTTCGAAAGGTAGCACAGGAATTCCTTACAGGATTAGCCTCCGCTTGTGTTGACAACACGACTGGTGGTTTATTCAAGAGCCCTGCTTCTATGGCTGTTGATATCAGAAGAGAAATGGTGGACTATCTTATCCAGAGAAGCGAGACATTTGTTGCTGAATCTGTTGTGTTACAAGGTGGAACAGAAACCATTGTGTCGGACAACCCTTATGATAACATTTCGGATTTTATCGATGATTTTGGTCAGTCAAAGAGAAATTTTTTTAGCAAGGTTTCAGGTTGGATACTAAGTGAAAGAAGAGAGGATAGAATAGATGATTTTGTACAAGAAATGGAGATAAATGGCTTTTGGTTGATGGCGAGGAGGGAAACTGTAGCACAAACAGTGATTCGAAACGTTGATTTCAAAAACACCTTTCACTGCAATATGAAGTTTAAGTCCGAAGAAGAGTTTGCGAGACATGTCTTTTCGTGTGGTTTCAGGGAAATACACTGTGAAAATGAGGGTTGTAATGCAAGATTTAGTGCAGCTCAACTTGAACAGCATGATTCGGAGTGTCCTTTCAAAATACTTCAGTGTGAGCAGAAGTGCCCAGAAATGCTCATGAGACGTGAAATGGACCGGCATTGTATAACTATTTGTACAATGAAGCTTGTCAATTGTCCCTTTTATCCCGTTGGTTGCCAATCGACTGTTCCCCAATGCAAAGCAGAAGAACACCGTAAAGAGAATCTCCAATCTCACTTGGTCTACATTTTAAAACTTATTTACAAGGAAGCATCTTCAGAAGCTCTTAAGAAAAGGGCTGAACAATTGGAACAGGTATGTTATGAAATGGTTTGTGCAACTTACACTTTTTCTAGCATCCAATGATTCAAGTGACTTTATGTTGTCAGTTTGTTAGATTCTATGGGCGGATCTATGAAGAAGGGTGGGTAGTAGAGGAGCTAGGATTTTCACTAAGGGGGCTTGAAATATAAAAAAATAAATACATGCATGAAGAGGCCAAGGGGGTTCAACTCAATTCAAGAGGAAATACATTTCAGCTATCTTTCTGTTGTCGCGAAATTCATGATCATTTGGCCAACTTCTGGGATCTTGTTGTATTACTTATTAGATAATGAGAATAATAATAGTAAACAGGCAACATCAGGTGATATATTCTTTTATTCTCATAAACAGGCAACATCAGGTGGACGATTAGCAGCTGCTCGTGATGCAAGATCATTAACAACTGCAATTAAGAATATTGATGCAAAGCTTGGACCGTTGGAGGTCGAGAAAAAGATAGAGGTCAATCCAGAGTTAATAGAACAAAAAGACGAGGGCACTGATGTATCCACCAAGAATGACGATCATGATGGTAAGGACTCGCTTCATAAGAATAAGACGTCTCCAGACTCACCCAAGATTCAGCATGACCTTACAGCTACGCCCGCCAAAGCAGAGTCACCTACCAAATCAGTGGATATTGTAGAACCAACTAGCAAAACTAAAGTGCAAGAATCTTCTAAGTCACCTCAGGACCTCACAGTTTCCTCATCCAAAAGTGAAGAGTCTACCCTATCACCCATGAAACATAAAAAATCTTCCTCACCTGAAATGGATACACATGAAACAAATGAGTCTACACCATCACCCAAAAACACCATGACTCCACAGCTTCCTCACCCAAAATGAGTACACATGAGCTTACTCTACCAAAGAAACACCATGACTCCATGGCTTCCTCACCCAAAATAGGTACACATGAGTCTACACCATTACCCAAAAACCAACATGACTCCACATCTTCCTCACCCAAAATGAGTACACATGAGTCGACTCCATCACCGAAAAAACACCATGACTCCACAACTTCCTCACCTAAAATGTGTACACACGAGTCTACGATATCACCAAAAGAACACCATGACTCCACAACTTCCTCACCCAAAATGAGTACACATGAGTTAACTCCATCACCAAAGAAACAACATGACTCCACAACTTCCTCACCTAAAATGAGTACACATGAGTTGACTCCATCACCAAAGAAACATCATGACTCCACAACTTCCTCACCTAAAGTGAGTACACATGAGTCCACACCATCACCAACTAAACACCACGACTCCATGCCATCCTCACTTGAAACGGAGTATGCAAAAAGTGAAGAGTCTATTCCATCAGCCAATAACCATTAGGACTCCATGACTTTGGGAGTCAAGGTTGAGTGACATCCAAAATTAGGATTTTGTGGAGGAATGAACTTCAAAATGGAGTCTACAAGGCCACACCTCAGTGAAAAAAGATCAACAAATTCATCATCAAAAAGAGAAAAAGACCCCAAGTCAACAATTCCAAAGTGGATGCAGGGGTAGCAACCGAATGAAGTACATACATGAAATAGAATCAAACCATGTAAAAAAGTTTTCTTCGCCATCTGTCCATTGTCAATTGTGGCTAGTTAGTTTGTGAAACAAATTTTTTTGCACATTTCCTTTTTCATACAGTTAACTTATGATTTTATAATCATTTTAGGCTTTGCATAGGTTTGTTCTAGTGTCTCCTATAAATATTTCAGTACGTCAATTTGTTTTGTTTGTACTTTTAATTATTGTTTGTACAAGATACAACTCTTTTTTGCTCAGTGGTGTTGACTCTGCCTGTGGAGCAAGTTGATCTCAAGAAATTTTTCAACAAAATCACCAACTCAGCAACAATCAAGGCTTCCAGTCCAAAATTAATGCAATGAAGCAGCAGTCACAAGCAAACACAACTTATAAAAGAAGATGAACATCAAGGGAACAAGTGTGCAACTTTACTTGAACAAGAGATATATTCACTCTTTTATCGTGCAGTAAATAATGTATTCGTTGGGAATATTCTAGTGGGCACTAGATAAAAGCGAAGTGTGAGTTATACAAGTAAAGATTGTAGCCATAAAAAAATCTGGAATGGTCTAGATCAAGCGACAACAACACAATCTGTACAGTCAAAGCTCATTCAAGCTCTAAAGGAAACCTTCTAACACAAGGAGACTGGACTAGACACCACATTGGTGATCCGAATCAGTAAAAAATCTTCTTCTTTTATCTTTTAGTTTTTCATAATTCATTATACTTTGCCTATTTGACTAATGTGCAGGTAAGTTGACTAGTGTGTGATGTCGCATAACTTACATCCTTTTTACGGTGTTAAAATTGTCGATGCAAAATGCAATAACCTAACTAGGTTGAGGTCAAATCTTACCGAGAGCATACTAGAATTTTCTTATAATTTGTTATTGAGATTCACGAAAGTAACTATTATTGGGGAATTGGGGTTTTTATCGAACTACTTTAACTACTTGGATTTTATCAATAGAGAAGATGAACTAGGGTTACAATTCTCAAATATCGAAACTCCAATAAATGCTGTACTATTCATTCATTCAAGTGTGCATTGTACAAAACCGACAATTCTATAAATCTCTTAAAGCCTCTCCCAATAATGAGAATATCACCCTAAGTCCTTCTCAAGTACTTGAGTATCGAATTAATTGGTTCATCCATTAAAAGCCTTAAGTTAACTATCTCCTCTCTGTCTTAAGTTATTAGATAGTGGTTGGTAGCACCAAATCCTGCTAATGGATCTTTTTCCAAATATGTCACTGATAAGCGTTCAACCAAACCTCATTCAATACTAGGTGTGGGCGATCATCATCTAGTATAAAACCCAACGAACAGTTGAGATCGAACCCACATGGAGCAGTATAAGTTCAAATTCAGTGACCAAGTTATGAATGTAATCTAATTAGCTGTAGGAATAGAAATTATCGTAAACATTTAGTTAAATTGAAAGGGGTGACAACAAATGTCACATGGGGGAATTGGTTTGTCAATTAACAACTAAAACATACGAAAACAGGGGGTTTCAACAATATTGAGAGGAATGCTTGGGATGTGATCGATTATAGGTTGATCTCACTATATGGGTAATTGAAATTTACTAACGATTGTTAAATCTTAGTAGGTAGGCTAGACTATAGGTCCAATAGCTTTCTCTCGAACAACTATTATGATTCAAGTGAGTCCTCTTGAACCTCGACAAGCTTTACACTAAGAACAATCCAAAACCTTAATTTATCTACTCTCTCGAGGTAGAGAGGTAGAATCGATCTTAGGATTCATTCTCTCGAGCTGAACCCACATCAATCCAATAACTACAATGATTAATCTAAAATCTTAGTTCTAAAGCCTCTTTCTCAAGCAAGCCCAAAACTCTAAGTTAGAATTGCATTTACAACTACAATTTATAGATTAATACACAACAATCGATTAAACCCACTTCAATTAAGCATTTAAATCAGTAAATAACAATACTCATAAGCTAATTAAGCCAATAATCACATGATTACACCCCAAGAATTGGGGTTTCAGCTACACATCATAAAAAGAGAAACAATTACCAACTATATTAGCCATAAGCTGGGTAAAAGTTTCCAAGTCTCTACAATGCACCAAATTGAATTAGTTAAAAAACCCAATAGAAATTCCTCAAAATTAAATCTCAAAAGCTTCAAAGTCTCCGGTGGGAACTCAAAAACACAAAGAAAACCAAAACTCTAAGAACTCTGGAATCAAAACTCATTTCTCTTCTTTTTAAATTTCAATTTATAGTTTTCTAATTTTTGGCCTTCAGGTCCATTAGGCGGAGTAAGTCGTGCCTCGCCAACCAGGTCGGCGATCCACCCTTTTCTCCAATCCATCACCGATTTGCATTGGCCATTATACTTCAGGGTTCTATGACTTTAGACGATCAAGGTTGATGTCGCCGAGTCAGTCGACGATCCACCGACTGTCTATTTCTGTCGCCAAGTAGGTTCTTCCCCAGGGCTGGTACGCTGGAACTTTAGGCGAGCTAAAGAGACACTTAGTGGCTCGCTGAGTGGTCTTGGCGATCACCAAGACCGCCTTCCTTCAACATCTTCAACTTTTTTGCTCCTTTTTGCCCGGCAATGTCCTTGCCTTGCTCCTTAACGCTTGTTGCTGCAAATCATTACTTTAACATCAGTTTAGAGCATAAATTAGGCATTTGAGGACACTTAAATCATGAAAACAAATCCCTAAATGAATCGAAATCTCAAACTCATCAATATCCCCAACTTAAACTTTTGTTTGTCCTCAAGTAAAACTCAAGATCAATCAGTTCAATAAGGATGTCTACAAACAGTGCTACTTAAGACTCAACACAAATGCACACAAAAGGTTCAAACTACACATACAATGTTCGACTGTGCACTCAAAGTTTCAAATTGTAACTCACCATAATCAAGTATACTCAAGCTCACAATGCTTGCTTCAAATGCAAGTTCAAGCTCAACAAAAGTATTCAAATGCCCTCACAACAATGATGATTCCATATTTCATACAAAATTTCTCAACAATTTAATATTCCGGAATCAAATGCAAGTCTCACGTTAAAAAAGATGAACACATGCATGACTCCACCAATAGGCTTGCACTTATCGTCCAATCAACATTCGTTTCAGCTCACTCAAGATCACCAAGGTCTTTTTCAAGCTTGTAATAGGGCTGAGTGTAAATGTATGGTCATTCAGGCTTAGTGGCTTCTACTTTCATGAAGTATGGCCTGAAAATCACATTTTCTTCTTCTCTTTCACATTCAAACATGTTCATAATCCACCTCATTATTCAACTAAACATGACTCACCGGATACCCCATTTCTTTTGCTTCTTTCACATACTTTAATTCGCAACTCTTCTTTTTATTATTTTTTTTATTTTCACAATTTTTCTTTCCTCTTTATATATATATATATATATATATATATATATATATATATGGGTTCCATATCTTTCAAAACAATCCATCAAGGAGATATTTTTCACACTTCTTGACTTTCCTCCTTTTTTGCCACACCCCAACTTAGGCTTTTGACCTAAGTTGGCTATTCAAATGAACTAATACTTCATGAAGGTTATGGGTAATGGGACAAAGAGGTCAAAGTTGTTCAAGTTTATTCCAAAGAAAAGGATAGACTCAAAAGGTGCCAAGCAAGGTTCACACTTCTCACAAGGTGGCGACAAAGAGGTATATTATCAATTTGTTTCACACTTCAAAACGTTTGCCTGAGATCATTTCAATCAATCATACCAACGGGGCAAATTCTAGGTATCATCAAGAAAAACATTCAAAACAACCTCACCACACAAGGCAATCAATACAATTCAAACAAGACTCCACACTTTCTAGATAGCGTGCAATGTTCATCACAAGAGACTTAATCGACAATCGGCTAGTCACAACGAGATGCTAACAGTTCACATATTGCCTATGTAACTCAGTTTGCCTCATCGTAGCTGCACATTCATGTCGTACAATCAAAAGAACTATTCAAGTCATTGGTATTGACCACAATCGATACTCAAATTTGCAAGAGAACAACCACAATCACACACAAAAGAAGTGGCAAAAATTTAAAATTGGTCAAAGCCATTTATATATTAAAAATAATGGACCACAATATCTCAACAATATATATATAAACACCAATATGCTTCAATATTCACAAAAACACAACAAAAAATAAGCAAATATTCACAAAAGCAGCCCAATAGAGGTAGGTGTAGCAATACCTCACCCCGCCAACAAAAATAAGCAGTTGTCCTCAAATGCAAATAAAACCAGAAACA